TTGAGAGGCGGGACCAAAGACCCAGAGCTCAACCCCCGCAAGCACAACTAGGTGAGTACAACTAGGTGAGTACACACGATGTGTGAGTGTGTGCGCGCGCGTGTGAGGGCAGCACATGTGTGGCCAGCAGTGCTGGGACACTCCAGGCCACCCCCCCCCCCCCCGTGCCGGACACAGGATGAAGACTGATGAGTCCTCAGGCTATGGGTTCCGGACCTCCCGATGGACCGTCAACACCGCGGAAACACATCAGCCGCTTCCATTAAGCCCAGCCCAACCCATGTTTGGGAGGGGGAGGGGTTCTTGGTGAGGGACCTGGAGGGTTCTTGGTGAGGGACCTGGAGGGTTCTTGGTGAGGGACCTGGGGGGATCTTGGTGAGGGACCTGGAGGGTTCTTGGTGAGGGACCTGGAGGGTTCTTAGATGAGGGACCTGGAGGGTTCTTGGTGAGGGACCTGGGGGATTCTTAGGTGAGGGACCTGGAGGGTTCTTAGGTGAGGGACCTGGAGGGTTCTAAGGTGAGGGACCTGGAGGGTTCTTAGGTGAGGGACCTTTGGGGTTCTTAGGTGAGGGACCTGGAGGGTTCTTGGTGATGGATCTAGTTGGTCCTTGGTGCAGAACCTCGGAAGATCTTGGTGAAGTATCTGGAGGGATCTTGGTGAGAGATCTGGAAGGTTTCTGGTGAGGAACAAAGATGGATTACAACTGTATTCGAAACAACGAATAACTGATTAGGAACATAATGATTACAAATACATGTTACTCAGATCACAACCTAAACGAAGTTCCAACAAACATGGTCAACAGACCTGTGCAGCCTGTCACAAATCCAAGAGGAGAATAATTCATCATATTAAATGTTAATAACAAATTGATTGATTGGGAACGAATAACCAAGACCTCGCAGAAATATTCTGGATAGAACAACTAGAAAATTTAAACTTTAACCAGAGCTCAGAGAAAATATGCACAATAGCGCTAGAAATATGTAGAAAGAAAATGCCACTAAGAAAAAAAATAAAAAGTTGTAAAGTGGAACAAGAACGGCGCTCCCTTTATTGGTGAAGAAAACATGTATCAGAACCTCTCAAACACTCCACTCTATCCCAAGAACGACGATGGAGGCTAAATACCGAAATTAAGATGATCGAGCTCATGCTGCAAGTATCATTTAAATCTTAGAGCGGCAAAGACAGCAAACGTACAAAATAGTGAGGAATCTAGAATACTTTTTCGCCTATGTAAAAACTAGAGCGAAAACTACATCCAGAAGTGGCCCTTGTGCTAGGGGTAACGGAACCTTCACGGATGATAGCAAAGAAGTGAGTGAAATGCTGAGGCTTCAGTACATTCTGTTGTCAGTGACCCTCTGAACACATTGCACATCAATGATCCAAACAAATTCTTCAAGAATGTGACACCAACATCGAACCATATATCAGATGTCACCCTAAACTCACTATACTCTGATGTAGCCAAAGACAGCAAGCCCATGCACTCTGCACCTGGCCCAGATTGCTGGAATTCTATATTCATCAAAAAGTGCAAAACACCATAACCACAGGATCTGAACATCTTTGGAAACTGAATCTAGAAACTAGCGTTATCCCCGACATACAGTAGTTAAAACAGCGGACATAGCGCCACGTCACAAAGGAACCAGTACTGCAGAGGCAAAATATAATAAATCAATAGCTCTAACTTCACACATCACAAAAATCATTTAAAAAGTGCTAAGATAAAAGATTACGAATTACATAGAATCAATACATGTACATAACTTCGGACAACACAGATTCAGAACAAGGCGCTCCTGCTAGACCACCATGACATGGTCTTAGGTGTCATGGAAGACAAGCAAAAAGCAGATGTAATATACACAACCTATGCATAAACTTTCAAAACATGTAACCGTGGTGTTATTGTGCGCAAAATGAGCGCAAAAGGAATTACTGGCAAAGTAGGGAGATGGATCTTTAACTTCCTAACCAAGACAACGCCAAGTGTAATAGTCAACAAAGTAAAATCCTCATCATCCACCGGATTTGCAAGTCCCCTAAGGCATCGAACTTGCTCCGGTACTTTTTTTTATCTTCATATCAGTCATAGACAATAATATTGGAGAGTACTGTATCATTATTTGCAAATGAAACTAGTACTGTACTGTATCATTATTTTGAATCATTATTTTGCAAATGGTTCATTTTCATGCGAGTAGACAATACAGCGGAAGCACCAAACCTCCAATCTGATGTTAATCGTGTCTTTCAGTGGACCACATATTATAATAATATGATGTTAAATGAAGATAACTTCCAGCTTCCGCGCTATGGAAAAAAAATATCTATAAAAACTGCAAACCATATATAAAACGCAATCATATCACACTATAGAACGAAAACAATGTAAAGGGTCTAGGAAAAATCAAGTCGGAAGGCAATTTCTTTAAAGAACACAATAAAGTTGCTGTCACGATTGCATGAAAAATGACAGGGTGGATAACAAGGACCGTCCAATAAGGGACGCCAGACCAGTGATGATACTTTTCAAGACACTAGTATTCTCTAGGGTGGAATATTGTTGCACACTAACAGCCCCAATCAGTGCCGGAGAAATTGTTCGCCTGGAGAAAGGAAAAAGAACCTTTATTGATGAAATCCACTCAATAAAACAACAAAATTACTGGGACCGATCTGAAGTTCTAAATTTTAATTATGTAGAGCGCATGCGAGAGATACATAATAATCTACACGTGGAAAATAATAGAGATTGGTCTCTAGTCCACGAAAATAAGATCACATGAAAACAGTAGGCCCTACAGGATGTGCAAAATACTCCCGTTGAAATGCAGCGGTGCAATAGGTATGTTCAGACTATATCAACATCAAGAGCGAAAGACTTTTCAACCTTCTACCGTTACACATGGGTGACATAACTGGCCGGCCTCTCACAGTGTTCAGGAGAGTACTCATCAAACACCTCCAGAGGAAACCTGATCAACCAAGTTGTGATTTATACGTCAGTCTGCGAGCTGCCGCGGCCAACAGCCTGGTTGACCAGACGACAAAACAGGAGGCGGGGCCGCGGGGACGTTGGTTCCTGGAACATCCACAAGGAAGGGACCTGGAGGGTTCTTGGTGAGGGACCTGGAGGGTTCTTGGTGAGGGACCTGGAGGGTTCTTGGTGAGGGACCTGGAGGGTTCTTGGTGAGGGACCTGGAGGGTTCTTGGTGAGGGACCTGGAGGGTTCTTGGTGAGGGACCTGGAGGGTTCTTGGTGAGGGACCTGGAGGGTTCTTAGGTGAGGGACCTGGAGGGTTCTTAGGTGAGGGACCTGGAGGGTTCTTGGTGAGGGACCTGGAGGGTTCTTAGGTGAGGGACCTGGAGGGTTCTTGGTTAGGGACCTGGATGGTTCTTAGGTGAGGGACCTGGAGGGTTCTTGGTTAGGGACCTGGAGGGTTCTTAGGTGAGGGACCTGGAGGGTTCTTGGTGTGGGACCTGGAGGGTTCTTAGGTGAGGGACCTGGAGGGTTCTTAGGTGAGGGACCTGGAGGGTTCTTGGTGAGGGACCTGGAGGGTTCTTAGGTGAGGGACCTGGAAGGTTCTTAGGTGAGGGACCTGGAGGGTTCTTGGTTAGGGACCTGGAAGGTTCTTGGTGTGGGACCTGGAGGGTTCATAGGTGAGGAACCTGGAGGGTTCTTAGGTGAGGGACTTGGAGGGTTCTTAGGTGAGGGACCTGGAGGGTTCTTAGGTGAGGGACCTGGAGGGTTCTTGGTGTGGGACCTGGAGGGTTCTTAGGTGAGGGACCTGGAGGGTTCTTGGTGTGGGACCTGGAGGGTTCTTAGGTGAGGGACCCGGAGGGTTCTTAGGTGAGGGACCTGGAGGGTTCTTAGGTGAGGGATTTGGAGGGTTCTTGGTTAGTGACCTGGAGGGTTCTTGGTTAGGGACCTGGAGGGTTCTTAGTAGGGACCTGCAGGGTTCTTGGTGTGGGACCTGGAGGGTTCTTAGGTGAGGGACCTGGAGGGTTCTTGGTGAGGGACCTGGAGGGTTCTTAGTTAGGGACCTCGAGGGTTCTTAGGTGAGGGACCTCGAGGGTTCTTGGTGAGGGACCTGGAGGGTTCTTGGTGAGGGCCCTGGAGAGTTCTTGGTGAGGGACCTGGAGGGTTCTTGGTGAGGGACCTCGAGGGTTCTTGGTGAGGGACCTGGAGGGTTCTTGGTGAGGGCCCTCGAAGGTTCTTGGTGAGGGACCTGGAGGGTTCTTGGTGAGGGACCTGGAGGGTTCTTGGTAAGGGACCTGGAGGGTTCTTGGTGATTGACCTGGAGGGTTCTTAGGTGAGGGACCTGGAGGGTTCTTAGGTGAGGGACCTGGAGGGTTCTTGGTGAGGGACCTGGAGGGTTCTTAGGTGAGGGACCTGGAGGGTTCTTAGGTGAGGGACCTGGAGGGTTCTTAGTGAGAACGCCTCAGACGTGAGGAACGTATGAGACGTCAGGAACGTCTGGGACGTTAGGAACGTCTGGGACGTCAGGAACGCCCCTGACGTCAGGAACGTCAGGAATGCCCCTGACGTCAGGAACGTCAGGAACGCCCCTGACGTCAGGAACGTCAGAAACTGCTGAGACGTCAGGAACGTCTGAGACGTCAGGCACGTCTGGGAGGTCAGGAACGTCTGGGACGTCAGGAACGTCTGGGACGTCAGGAATGCCCCTGACGTGTAGGAACTGCTGGGACGGCAGGAACGTCTGGGACGTCAGGAACGCCCATGACGTAAGGGAACGTCAGGAACGTCTGGGGCGTCAGGAACGTCTGGGACGTCAGGAACTGCTGAGACGTCAGGAACTGCTGAGACGTCAGGCACGTCTGGGAGGTCAGGAACGTCTGGGACGTCAGGAACGCCCCTGACGTCAGGAACGTCTGGGGCGTCAGGAACGTCTGGGACGTCAGGAACTGCTGAGCCGTCAGGAACGTCTGGGACGTCAGGAACGTCTGGGACGTCAGTAACGCCCATGACGTCAGGAACGTCTGGGACGTCAGGAATGCCCGGGACGTCAGGAATGCCCGGGACGTCAGGAACGTCTGGGACGTCAGGAACGTCTGGGACGTCAAGAACGCCTAGGACGTCAGGAACGTCTGGGACGTCAAGAACGTCTGGGACGTCAGGAACGTCTGGGACGTCAAGAACGCCTGGGACGTCAGGAACGTCTGGGACGTCAATAACGCCTGGGATGTCAGGAACGCCGGGGTCGTCAGGAACGCCTGGGACGTCAGGAACGCCTGGGACGTCAGGAACGCCTGTGACGTCAGGAACGCCTCGGACGTCAGGAATGCCTCGTACGTCAGGAACGCCTCGTACGTCAGGACCGTCGGGGACGTCAGGAACGCCTGGGTTATCTGGGACGTCAGGAACGTCTGGGACGTCAGGAACGCCTAAGACAGTTCAGGAGAGCAGTGGAAGTTTTGCCGTGGAGTGGGTGGCAGCCCGAGCACTCCCCTGTAGCCCGGTGCTCCTGAACCAGACTAATGGGCTGCCTGTCTGCAGTAATCGTGACGGTTGTGTCAGGAAGCTCCTGCTGCAGGCCGCTCTCCGCCTGACTCCAGGCTAAGTGCTGGGTATTGTTGCTGCTAACAATTACGAGTAGTACTGTAAGGAAACTATTTTGGAGAGAGGAAACATGAGGGAAAGAGTAATGACATTTTGGAAAATGGGATGAAGTGCTGTTTTGGAAACAGCAAGAAGGCTGTATTGGCTCTCGGGAAAAGCAATCCTGTTTTTGGGATTAGGGAGGAGCGGTGTTGTTATTTTTAAAATGTAAACCCTCAGTCATGTGATGTGGACACGCAATCAGAGTTGTTTTATGTGTAGTGGGCAGCCGTATTTTGGAGACAGATTATTGTGATGGAAAAAAGGAAAGTCAACGAATTTCAGAATACGGAATAGTTGTATTTTAGAAATTGAGAGAGTGTTGTTTTGCGAATTGTTGGAAGTTGTTATGTTATTAAAATAGTTAGTTTGTTATTGAAATAAGTGTTACGCATACCCCTGAATGGCCTATGCCACACACGCAACATAAGGGAAATCGGTTTTGAGGCGACCGCTGGGAAGGAGCGACCACAGTGTACTGATGTTTGAGTATGTGGTCGAAGTGCGCTTAATGTACTCAATGAAGGGCTAAGAAAATAAAAGGCTGTCATTTCAAAAGGGAAACTATGAGGAGATAAGAAAATTCCTTTGTCTTTGACGCAGTACTGTATAAGAGACTAGTGAACAAGCTGGAGATGCAGGCAAGAGGGAAAGGGAAAGTACTCCAATAGATAAGGGAGTAAGCAACAGAAAACAGCGAGTGACTGTGAGTGGGGAGGTCTCCGAGTGGCGAGGCGTCATCAGTGGAGTCCCACAGGGATCTGTCCTTGGACCTATACCGTTTTTGATAATTGTAAATGATCTAGACGGATAAGACTCGTTCCACTCAATGTTTACTGATAATGCAACAATTATGAGGAGGATTAAGACAGAGGAAGATAGTATGAGGTTACAAGATTCATTCCAAACTGAAGGAATGGTCTATCAAATGGCTTCTAAAGTTCAACCCAAGTAAATGTAAAGTAATGAAACTAGGCGGAATAAATAGGAAGCCCGACGCTGGATACCGAATGGGAGATGAAGTCCTGTATGAATCAGAACGAGGGACAGATCTAGGAGTTGATATTATGCCAAACTTGTCTCCTGAAACGAACATCAAAAAAGTAACAACAGCGGCATATGCAAAGCTTGCTAAAATCAGAATGGCGTTCAGAAACCTGTGTAAGGAATCCTTCAGAACCTTGTATACTACATATGTAAGGCCAATCCTGGAGTATGACGCTCCTGCAACGAGCCCGTATCTTGTCAAGCACAAGACGAAGCTAAAACAAATTCAGAGGTATGCCATTAGGCTTGTCCCAGAACTAAGAGGCATGAGTTACGAGGAGAGGCGGCGTGAACTGCACCTCACATCTCTGGAAGACAGAAGGGCTCGGGGAGACATGATCACCATTGACAGGGTGGACTTGGACATGACCAGGGGAATTCATCAGGTTGGATATGATCAAGGGAATTGACAGGGTGGACAAAGACAAACTCTTTACCACGGGTGAAACACGAACAAGGGGACACAGGTGGAAACTTAGTGCCCAGATGAGCCACAAAGACATTAGAAAGACTTTTTTCAGTGTCAGAATAGTTAACAAATGGAATGCATTTAGTAGTGATGTGGTGGAGGCAGACTCCATACACAGCTCCAAGTGTAGATATGATAGAGCCCAGTTGGCTCAGGAATCTGTACACCAGTTGATTGACAGTTGAGAGGCGGGACCAAAGAGCCAAATCTCAACCCCCACAAGCACAAAAAAGTGAGTACACACACACACACACACACACACACACACACACACACACACACACACACACACACACACACACACACACAGATTTTTACAGGAAAGAGATGGTTGGGTTGACTGCATGTATCTGACCTAAAAAAGGCTTTTGACAGAGTTCCACATACGAGGTTGTATGTGGAACTCAGAGAGAAAGACCTGAGGGTTGATATCACGCCAGACCTGTCTCCTGAAGCTCATATCAAGAGGATAACATCAGAGGCATATGCCAGGTTGGCTAACATAAGAACGGCCTTTAGAAACTTGTGCAAGGAATCTTTCAGAACATTATATACCACATATGTCAGACCAATCCTGGAGTATGCGGCTCCAGCATGGAGTACATATCTAGTCAAACATAAGACTAAACTGGAAAAGGTTCAAAGTTTTGCCACCAGACTAGTACCCAAACTGAGGGGTGTGAGCTACGAGGAGAGACTACGGGAATTAAACCTCACGTCACTGGGAGACAAAAGAGTTAGAGGGGACATGATCACTACATACAAGATTCTCAGAGGAATTGATAGAGTAGATAAAGACAGACTGTTTAACACAAGGGGCACATGCACTAGGGGACACAGGTGGAAATTGAGTGCCCAAATGGGCCATAGAGACGTTAGAAAGAATTTTTTCAGTGTCAGAGCACTAGACAAATGGAGTGCATTTGGAAGTGATGTGGTGGAGGCTGACTCCATACACAGCTTAAAGTGTATTTATGATAGAGCCCAATAGGCTCAGGAACCTGTACATTAGTTGATTGACCGTTGAGAGGCGGGACCAAAGAGCCAGATCTCAACCCCGGTTAACACAACTAGGTAAGTACACACTCAAACACACACACACACACACACACACACACACACACACACACACACACACTACGAGGGGGCCTCGTAGCCTGGTGTATAGCGCGCAGGACTCGTAATTCTGTGGCGCGGGTTCGATTCCCGCACGAGGCAGAAACAAATGGGCAAAGTTTCTTCCACCCTAAGTGCCCCTGTTACCTAGCAGTAAATAGGTACCTGGGAGTTAGTCAGCTGTCACGGGCTGCTTCCTGTGTGTGTGTGTGTGTGTGTGGTGTGAAAAAAAAAAAAAAAAAAAAAAAAAGTAGTTAGTAAACAGTTGATTGACAGTTGAGAGGTGGGCCGAAAGAGCAAAGCTCAACCCCCGCAAAAACACAACTGGTAAACACACACACACACACACATACACACACACACACACACACACACACACACACACACACACACACACACACACACACACACACACACACACACACACACACACACACACATGAAGGGACCGACAAGAATGAGAGGAGGGGATGTACCAGCTTTGCTTGATCTGATATTTACCCTAAATGAGTCGGATATAAGGGAGGTTAAGTTGGAAGCCCCTTTGGGAATGAGTGATCATAGTATATTGAGCTTTGAGTACCTGGTTGAGCTAGGAATTATCACCCCCAAAAAAGAACTGGGAAACAAAGGGCTGGCGTACCGAAAGGGAAACTATGAGGAGATGAATAAATTCCTATGGGATTTACATTGGGACACAGAACTCGGAACCAAGTCCGTACAAGACATGATGGACTATGTCACCCAAAAATGTCAGGAGGCTGTAAGCAGGTTTGTCCCAGCCCGACAGGAAAAAACAGAGAAGCAAAGGAAGAATCCGTGGTTTAATAGGGAATGTATGAAAGCAAAGGAGCTGACCAAAAGAGCATGGAGGAACTTCCGTAATAACAGAACACCAGAAAGTAGAGAGAGAAACCAGAGAACCAGGAACGAGTATGTTGGTGTGAGATGAGTAGCTGAGAAGAGGTATGAATATGATATAGCTAATAAAGCCAAGACCGAACCAAAGCTACTACAGAGTCACATCAGGAGGAAGACAACAGTGAAGGAACAGGTGATGAAACTTAGGGTGGGCGAGGACAGGTACACAGAGAATGACAAAGAGGTGTGTGAAGAACACAACAAAAGGTTCCAAGAGGTCTTTACAATAGAACAGGGAGATGTCAGGGCGCCAGGAAAGGTGGCAGCAAACCAGGTGACCTTGGATAGGTTCGAAATTACAAGTGATGAGGTCAAGAAGCACCTATGGGAGCTGGATGTGAGAAAAGCTGTTGGGCCGGACGGAATCTCGCCATGGGTATTGAAAGAGTGTGCAGGAGCATTTTGCTTGCCACTCTCCATAGTGTATAGTAGGTCACTGGAAACGGGAGACCTACCAGAAATATGGAAGACTGCTAATGTAGTACCAATATACAAAAAGGGTGCCAAGCAAGAGGCACTGAACTACAGGCCAGTGTCCTTAACTTGTATACCATGCAAGGTGATGGAGAAGATTGTGAGAAAAAACCTAGTAACGCATCTGGAGAGAAGGGACTTCGTGACAACCCATCAACATGGGTTCAGGGAGGGTAAATCTTGCCTTGCAGGCTTGATTGAATTCTACGATCAGGTCACAAAGATTAAGCATGAAAGAGAAGGATGGGCGGACTGCATTTTTTGGCTGTCGGAAAGCCTTTGACACAGTACCCCATAAAAGGCTGATGCATAAGCTGGAGAAACAGGCAGGAGTAACTGGTAGGGCGCTCCAGTGGATAAGGGAGTACCTAAGCAATAGGAAGCAGAGAGTTACGGTGAGGAGTGAGACCTCAGAATGGCGTGAAGTCATCAGTGGAGTCCCACAGGGCTCTGTATGTGGACCTATCCTGTTTCTGATATACGTAAATGATCTCCCAGAGGGTATAGACTCATTCCTCTCAATGTTTACTGACGACGCCAAAATTATGAGAAGGATTAAGACAGAGGAGGACAGCTTGAGGCTTCAAGAAGACCTGGACAAGCTGCAGGAATGGTCGAACAAATGGTTGTTAGAGTTTAACCCAAGCAAATGTAATGTAATGTAATGAAGATAGGGGTAGGAAGCAAGAGACCAGATACAAGGTATCATTTGGGAGATGAAATACTTCAAGAGTCAGAGAGAAAGAAAGACCTGGGGGTTGATATCACGCCAGACCTGTCTCCTGAAGCTCATATCAAGAGGATAACATCAGCAGCATATGCCAGGTTGGCTAACATAAGAACGGCCTTTAGAAACTTGTGTAAGGAATCTTTCAGAACATTATATACCACATATGTCAGACCAATCCTGGAGTATGCGACTCCAGCATGGAGTC